TAAAGGACAATGATCAACATATTATTCAAATAACCAAATCGAATAAGAATATTAAAAAAATTTAAAGGAAGGTATATTTGTGTTGGAAAAGTTACATGGATATTTTAATTAGTGGAATTTAAGTTGGATTGATGGAATTTAGTGGGAATTGAACTATAAAGTGAAATAGTGCAATTTAGTGACTAAAATGAAATTTTGGAAAATTAGAGGGTCAAGAAGAAAAATTGAAAGATGAGATTTTTATGGTTATTTAATAATATTAAAATAGAGATAATAGAGTGGAATGGGTATAATTTTGGGAATTTATTAGTGGCAATTTAGTCTTTTGGCTCAAAAACAATAAAAAATATTTTTTAATTGATTTTTAAAGGCTAATTAGGAGATATTTGGTTAGAAATTTGTAGAAAATCTGCTTTCTCCTCCACCAAACTGCCAAACCTCCATAGCCAATTTGGAATTTTGTTAGACCCTGAGGGACGTTTTCTCATAGTATGGCAACTTAAAGGATTAATGTGCAATTATTGAAAATTTAAGTTCCTATGTTGAAATCTAATATCAGAACAATAAATTTGACTGATTTGGAAGAGTTTATAAGTCTAGAAACTCAATTGTAAGTTGAATGAAGGTGGTGAGATGGTGAAGTTGTCAGGGGCATTTTACAAAGTTAGGAAATTTAAAGGATTTAGATTCAAGCTTTGGAAATTTTGGATGCAATGCTAGAAATTTTAGTTAAAATATGAGAATATTGAATTTAGATAAGGTGGAAAGTTTCACAAGATTAAGGGAGAGAAATTAGTTTCAAATATGTGTCGATTTTTTTTAAATTGTTGGATTATAAATGAATATTATATTATTAGTTAAAGTACTAATTCATATTTGAAATTGTTTATGTTGGGAAATTGATGATATGAAGACTGTGATCGAAAACAAAAACAAATCGAACCAAAATAAAAGTATTAGGTTCGAGGGTGCAAGGAAGATAGTAATTAAAGTGTATTGAGGCAACATGTGAGTGAAACTTACTTATTTTATACACGGTCGGAGGACAGCTTGCGATGAATCAACCTCAAATATTTTTGAATAAAATAATTTGTATCATGTTCTGAAATATTTTTTTATTGTGTTATTAAATGATTTTTATATGGTTTTGGGTACGAATTACCCAAACTATGTTATACGATATTTTATGTTTATAGCATGTAAATATTTTGGGTATGAGCTGCCCAATACTGATTTTTATGAGATTTTTATTTATATTCGATTATATGAATGTTTATATGGAGAACAATATATTATTTTCAATTACGCTCACTGTATGAGATTAAGAGTTAGTGGTACAAATGGCGTGCCATGAGGTGGGGTGATTACTGATTATTGTTCACTTATTACTGATACTGACACTATATATGCACCGTGGGTTCACGATGTTGTGACATTGTGAAATCTATATCGGATTACTGGCACAGTGATATTGTGTTTTACAACACATGTACATTACTGTTACTGACATCGAAAGTGCAAATTGTTACTGATAATAAAACTGCAAATAGCGCGCACACTCATTTACTGACTCGAGTACCTTATATTTTCATGATGATACAGTGAAATAATATAAATTGAAATAGAGTAGTACAAAATTGATTTTATACAGTACTGTTGACTGTTAGACTGTTAAAGTAAAAATTTTATTAGAGGCTTTGAACTGACAGTTAAATTTATAACTGCTAGTATATGCAAATAATTTTATTGATCGTAATTGAATTAATATTTAAGGTTTTAACTATAACATTTTAAAGCTGAAGGATCATTTTAAATTTCAGTTCATAATTTGAGTGCGTATGATTGAATTAATCCCAAAGTGAATTAGCCTTTTGATCTGGGTTTAGGTTTGACAGTGACGACATTTGGTTGGCCTTACAACGCCGACCAAGGACACTTGGGCCAATGAAAATAAGCCATGTTACCCAGGAAACCGGGTATCTCAGAATGTTCAAAGGTAACTTTCAACGGCATTTCTGGCCGTGTGGTTGCTGCGATTGAGGGCAACCTTGTTGATTAAATAATAGCATTAATACTCTAATAAATAATTCATTATTCAAATAATATTAATATTCAATTAAATTATTAAAAAATCATGATTAGAACAAGATAAAAGCATAATGATATAAATAATATTACTTGATGAGTTGTAAACAATCTGTCAATCTGGACAGTGTAAAACCATAATCATGAAGTGTACCCTTCATTTTCAGACAGCTTGATCAATTGTTATTGCATGTTTTAATATAATAGAAGTATGCTTCATATCTACATGCCGTCATTTAAATTTACGCACTGTGTTTATTAATAAAATAATAATGATTATAGAAGTGTCAAAGAAAAAAAAATATTCAACAGACAAATATATGATATTTATTCATGTTTGACTACAAGATATATACGTGTATATTATAAAAATATAATATATAGTTTTCATTGGCGTGCAGCATATTATAAAACTATGGGTCAAAAGATCTTTCTCCAATAATGATTCTACAAGTTTCTAGTTCTGAGTAGGACAAAATCATGTAAATAATTTGGAATTTAATGAGCAAAAATAAAAATCAAAAGTGGGAGGTGGGATGTCGTTATCCCGACATGAATGAATGAATGAATGAATGAAATGATAAATCGGATTCAGATATCATCTCCCACGTGCATAGCAACTGATTGGAAGATTCTTATATTAAAATTGAAGTATATGTTATGATTGTAGTGAGTGCCGGGAGTTGATGATAGAGATTGAGGAAGTTTAAGTGTTGATGATAGAGATTGAGGAAGGTTAACTTAAAATTGTAAAAATTTTAGAAGCTTAAGTTAAAATTTTAAATTTATATCTTTTTTAAAAAAGTTGGGGTATAACCAAAAAAAAATTTGAGAGGTTTAAAGAGAATTTTTAAAAATTATGGGAGAGATTTAATTAAGAATATTTAAAAATTTTAAAAAATTAATATTAATTTCTAAAAAATTTTATGGGGGCTAAATTAAATATTTTAAAAAATTTTGAAGGTCTAAACTATAAATTTTTAAACTTTCGAGAGGGGCATGACCCCCACTAGTCTCCATTATCTTCCGCCACCTATTATGGCGATTTTTTTTAAATTTTATATTATTTTTATATTTTTATCGATAATTTTAATTATATATCTTAAATTTTTATAATTGTATATATAATTTATTAAATATTTATATTTTCTAATGTAAAATATTTCGTGTATCTTTGATTATGACCCAACCTAAAGCTGATTAAGAAACACAGGTGATGGAAGGGGAATTGATTAAAACCATCCAATATAACGGTGGACCAACCGTCTCATGACTAATATCACGCGCATCTTACGTCATTTTCTCTTTGGTTTAACCCTTAAAGACTCAATTTAATTAAGAAACTTTGATAATTTAATTAAGACTCAATTAAATAAAAGGGATGGGACCTTCGAAGGATGCGCAAGGAGTAAACGTGTCAGAACTGAGAACCATTAGTTCGTTTTAAATGTTTTCAAATTATACTACTTGATAATTTCGATCCTTATTGAACAATTCCTACAAGATTCAGTCGGAATGTGATTGAAATCTCATTCATTTAAACAATATCTTACTCATTCATATTAGGGTTCTAAACGAGTCAAGTTAAGTTCAAGTATTGTTGAATTTTATTCGATTTAAAAAATCTAAAATCAAGTTTGAGTTGATCTGAAAACTCGCAAGTTTAAAGTTGTCAAGTTTGACTAAAACTTGAAAAAACTTGAACTCAAAACATTCTCAGCTTAGCTCAATTGAAGCTCAAACTCGATCTTGAACTTGAACTTTAAGTATATGAAATTATTATATTGTATTTTTTTATAATAAAAAACATTTAATTTTAATATTATTAATAATTTAATTTAAAAAATTAAAAATTTAATATATTATTTTTCGAGTTGCTTGCGAGCTTTTCAAGTCAAAATATCAAGTAATTTGCTTCAGCTCGTTAAAAATTCGAATTAAGTATTGACCATACTTTAACTGAATCGATCTATCTTGAATAGCACGTGATATGTTTCGTCTCATTACAACCTTAATCGTTTTAATATTATTATATTATCATTTAAATAAATGATAGTATTTAAACAATATCCACTTTTTTACTTCTCGAAAACTGGAGTTTTCCCATCTCCGCAAGCATTTTGGTTTTTAATAGTTTAGAATGATTACAATATAATATATGTCAAAAAAAATTTAGTGATGGATAATATACACCATGTAGACTCAGTCGTTCAAACCTGAAACTTTAAGTGAGAACAATACTCCTTTTAACCACTAAGGTCATTCAATGAGTTCTTTTCACGTACATTTTAAATGTACATTAAATAATTATATAATTGGATTATTATTCACTTTTAAAATGTATATTAAATAATTTTTAATAAAAACCAATTTGTTCAATTTCAAAACTGTTAGAAATTTAAAGAATGTTTAAACTAAAATATTAATTAAGTAATTATAATTTTAAAATTAACAGGTTCAAAATATTCATTTTCAGACGTATATGAATTAAAATGTTAATTTTTATATTAGAAAGACTAAAATTAATTTTTACAAATAGTAAAGGTATTAAAAATTTCTTTTAATAGAACTTTTATGTACGGTACAACTTGTAATTCGCTTTAACCTATACATTATCTATTTATTATTGTATTTCAAATATATATTAATAAAGGAAGTGTTGTTTTAATTTAACCCATGATGGATGAAGAGAGTATTATATTTTCTAAAGGTTTCGGATTCAAACAGCTACGTTTTATATTATAAGAAAGATTCTAAATAAATAATATCTTATAATTACTTTAAACTATTCGATACTAATAACACTCTAACTGTTTTCTCAAAATAGCATTTAAGTTTTATTTTCGTAAAATAGATACAGTAATATACGTGTAAACGCAATGATTCACGTATAGCATAATTACAAAACTCACTTGTCCCTGCTAATAAATTTTATTACGTTCCAAACGAAACAACAAAGCCAAAGTTCTTTATTTTATAAAGACACAACCAACTGAGGGGATAGACGGTGGGATAATCTGATGATACCGAAATTACAACCATGTCGGATTCTTCAAAGGTGTAACAACAGCCTTCACCTGCAAATAGTTATGAAGACTGTATATCCCTTTCTCCCTGCCAATGCCACTCATCTTGTAACCACCAAAGGGAATTGCAGCATCGAACACATCAAAGCAATTAACCCAGACTGTCCCCACCCTCAACGCCCGTGTCAACGTGTTCGCTGTCTCTATATTTTTCGTGAAAACTCCTGCTGCTAGACCGTATCGGCTTGTGTTTGCCCTTCTAATCACTTCATCAATATCCCTGCCACAGATGAAACATGATTCATATGAACTCAAGTTATTCCATCTATCTAGAACCGAGGTCGATTGATACTTACTTGAACTTAAGGATAGATTGCACTGGACCGAAGATTTCATCCTGTGCTATCAGCATATCATCCTAGTTGATAAGAATGCAAGGATGATGATGTTTGGCAACAAGTTAGTAACTAATTACAAAGGTAATTATTGCAGAGGAATGACGGTTATTACCGTAACATTTGAGAAAACAGTTGGCTGGATAAAGTATCCTTTTGTTCCGAGTCTGTCACCTCCACATTCAAGGGTTGCCTTACTTTCCTTTCCTGCTCTTATGTACCTTAGAACTTTCTCGAACTGCTCCGTGTCAATCTGAGTTTTTTACAAGATGAATAACGACGTCAGCTGAAGTGCTTCATGTAGTTTGTTAAATATATCGAGGAAGGGAAGGAGAGAGCGAGAGGGGGTTCGGTATATTACCTGAGGACCTTGCTCAACACCCTTCTTGAAGGGGTCACCAACGACACGTCTCAGTGCACGTGCCTTTGCTTTCTCTAGGAACTCGTCATATATACGTTCATGAACATAAGTGCGAGACCCAGCGCAGCAACATTGCCCCTGAAGAAAGAAGCATTAGAACAGTCTCTTAAGGTATGTATGTCAAACATCCTATATTTTATATCAAAGGAACTCATCAAAGGAACCTGATTAAAGAACAAAGCAAAATGAGCAAGCTCCACAGCTTTATCAACATCGGCATCTTCGCATACTATGAAAGGTGATTTCCCTCCAAGCTCTAACGTCACTGGCTTAAGATTGCTTCTTGCAGCCAATTCAAGCACAACCTTACCGGTTTCGGTTGATCCTGTGAATGCAACCTGCAAACAAAGTTTTAATAAGGCATTATAAATTGGTATTTC